CGTGAAGGGGTAACGTAGTCCTCATTGAATGACCCCCTGATCAGGAATGATTCACAGTGCGAACTGTGTGGGGGGGTGGTAAGCCTAAAAAAGGATGGCCTATAATTGAGGTGATTTTTTTGTAAACACCTTGAAACTTAATTACATTGCCAAATGTATGCACGTGCGTAATTACATGTGCGTGCGTGCGTGTATGTGTGTACACGCACACCACGCACGCAACACGCCCCCCACACACACACAGATTTTTAATTGCAATTAGATGCAGTCCCATTACTCCGCTAGCAATTTCACACCAAACGCGCGACACCAGTCGTCCATAATCACTCCCAAACACACATTAACATACACACGGCGGCGGGGCAGCAGCCGCATCGCGGCGGCAGCAGCGGCACCGTCAAACGACCACTGAAAGTAATTTCCCTCTGTATTTTGTATTTAAAACGTCGGCGTGTACCACCCGAGCATGTAAACCCGGAACGCCGCGCCACAGATATATACCGACTCCTGTTGTCTGTGGTTTTTGGCGGCTGCCACACGTGTTCAGCCAGCGCGCGCGATCACATTCCCAGTGTGGGTCACAAAGGGATGCTGCTAGCGCGGCCCCGGTTGAGGGCGCTCGACTTCGCATCACTTCCATCGTAATGGCCAGTGATTCGCTTGTCTGTCTGTCTATACGGAGAGGAAGCGAAGAGGCGTGCGCGACGCCTTTCCCCCTATCAGGCAGCAGCCGCGTGTGTCTCTCTGTTCCCTGCTGTAGTTAACTGGACAGTAGTGGCAACGAAGCTTGCCCGACTGAGTGGGAATAAGGTTAGGGTTAGGGTTAGTGGGTAAGGGGCGGCTGAGGTCTCCGACAGTGCGGGTGGTAGGTGGGTGGTGTGAGGGTAAGGTCCCCCGACGGAGGAGGAGGCGTGCATGGATCCCTCGATGGAGGGGAAGGCAAAGGTCCCCGATGGAGGGGGAAGGCAACCAGGTCCCCCGACGGAGGCAGGAGCCGAGGTCCCCGATGGAAGCGGCCAAGGGAAAAGGTTCCCGATGGAGGGAAGGCAAAGGTCCCCGACGGAGGAGTGAGGCAAAAGGTCCCCGATGGAGGGGAAGGCAAAGGTCTCCAGCCCTAAGGTCCCTACAAATTTTTCCCCGGCGGTGACCTGTACCCAACCACACTCACAAACAACCTACCCACTCTTCTGTCTCTCGTCGGGCCATACCATACCTCCCACACCCACCCACCAACGATGTAACCTCGCCCTGTCTTATCTTTTTTGTAGAACGATGACAAGTTCTCGGTGGCGGGAGATTTCTCCGGCGGCGACCCATACTCCCCCCCCCCCCTCCCCGCCATCACAAACCCACGATATAACCCTACGGCCCCATCTATGTTTTTTGCAAGAACGATGACAAGCTCCCCCTCGCGTCGGCCGCAAGCCACGCTGCCGCTCTACCTCACCGGCGAGAATCATTTCCGAGCCCGAGAGCATCAGAGTGACAACGACTTCGACCGAAGTGTATGCGCACGACGACCGCACCGCACCGCACCGCGCCGCGGCCCGCGCCGCGCCGCCTGTCGCGCAGACGATCGCGTGCGCTGTCGTCTCAGAACAAATGTCGCGGACGCCGAGAATTGTAGTAGCAGCAGCAGTATCAATAGCCATAGCAGTCATCTAGTAGCAGTAGCAGTAGCAGTAGCAGTAGCAAGTATACGTAGCAGTAGCAGCAGCAGGAAAACAGTATCAGTAGCGTAGCAATTGAGTAGCCAGGCGAAGCGTAGTAGGCAGCAGCACCACCACCATCACACCAGCAGAACAGCCAGCAGCAGTAGCATCAGTATGAGTAGTAGCAGCAGTAGAAGCATCAGTATGAGTAGCAGCAGCAGCAGTAGCATCAGTAGTAGCAGTTAGCAGCAAGTTAGAGCATTAGTAGTAGAAGCCAGCCAGCAGCAGCAGCAGTAGCAGCAGCAGTAGAAGCAGCAGCAGCAGCCAGTTAGAGCAGCAGCAGCAGCTGCACTAGCAGCAGCAGCAGCAGCATCAGTAGCATCAGTCAGTAGCCAGCTGCAAAGAGTAACGCCATTAGTAGTAGCAGCATGCAGCCAGTATATCAGTGATGAGTAGCAGCAGCAGCAGTAGCGTGACGCGGGAACGAGATTGCATGATCGCATTGTAATCGCTGGGAGATCGATGTCGTGTTTTGTCACGCGCTCGCTCGTCGCTCGTCGCTCGTCCGGCATTGATCTAGATGTTGTCTCGCGCCATCACACGACACAGGCTATAGTAACAATGTACCCACCATGAGGATGGATGGGCGTACACACAATCGCCATTCACACACACAGGTATGTAACAATATACCACATGAGATGGGTGGGCGTATACACGCCCATCACACGACACAGGCTATAGTAAACAATGTACCCACCATGAGGATGGATGGGCGTACACACAATCGCCATATCACACGACACAGGCTATAGTAAACAATGTACCCACCATGAGGATGGATGGGGCGTATACACGCGCCATCACACGACAGCGGCGTATGTGTAACAACAAGATAACGAAGTGTACCCACTATGAGGATGGTGTGCTATACACGCGCATCCACATGGGCTTGTAGTAACTGTAACGATACTCGCTATCAAGGTGCCGTGGGTGTGTACGCGCGCCTTTAGTGCGGTTGGCGTTCATGTGTACATAATGAGCGATGGTTAATTACTACGTTGCACCGGCATCTGCTGGGTTAGGTTTAATAAAGGTTGAGGGCAACGAAGGGTCGTTGTTCGGATCAGGGGACTACATATATGTACCCGGAGATAGGTTTAGTTGCTTTAGTATTATGCTTTATATTTTATTGTGAGGATATGTTAGGGTTAGGGTTAGGGTAAGGGTTAGGGAACTTCTGCTAGCTACCAAGTCTCCCGCGTACACTTTGTGTATACAAATATGTACCTCGGGTATATATATGTAGTACCTGATACGACAACGACCCCTTCAGCGTGAGTGAGTGGATAAATGGGAGTAAGTCAAGGGCGGACCCAAGCGTATGCACACGGGTGTTGGGAGATAATTTAGGAGATATTTTAACAGCCATTGGGTGGGGGACACTGTATGCTTCAACGCGTAACTAAGACTGACAGAACTGTCTTCTACTAAGTGTCACAGGTTAATTTGACAAGTTTATATGTTAAAGAAGAGGTGCCTTATAGGGTTACAAACTTCTCGGGTATTTCTACCTGCAAAACGATCTTATTTCGAGTTGTAATTTGAGAAAACTGCTCTTTCTGAGTAAGAAATGGCCGTCTATGGCTACGATCTTGGTGACCCTGTCCAACAGATCTATCTCGGCCGACGAAAGGTGTGTCACGGGCTGGAAGAAAAGGGTGATCGGCCCAGGGTACGTAGACATGACGTGGTAGCTTATATGGCAAGAACTCCTAATACAATCCTCACGCACAGGCAAGAACTTCATAATCTTATATCATATACATATAACCATATACATACATATATACATACTGTATTACATATAATCAGGGTTTAATAATGACAAAAAATGTCATTATTAACCTCTGATATAATCACATACATCTTATAATCTCTATTATAATATATAATATATATATAATGTATATATAATGTATACATAATGTATGTATGTAACATAACGTAATGTATAAAAACGTGATGTATAAATTCGTGATGATCCATATCCACGTAAACATATGTTCCACGACGTAACATCATATAGAAGAAGATCTATATCTATGAAGATCTAAGAAGATCTATCTAAGAAGATCTAAGAAGATCTATCTAGATTCTAGAAGAATCTTCTTCTATATCTATGGTAACATAAACAATCAGGAAATCATGCGACCCCCTGATCCATCACACGTAAATCACAGCAGCCGCTCCCAGAACGGCTACATACTGTCAGGGGTCACAGGGGTCACAACGGGGCACACACACATACACACATGCACGCAGTGCTACCCCAGATAGCATGCTTAATCATCAAAGAAATATTACACTTTAAATAAAGAAATGTGAAATTGTGAAACGTTAGCGCACAGGGGGCCAGGCCCGTAACCAGGGGGAGGGGGATCAGGTGGATCGGACGATCCCCCCCCCCCGCGGAACAAGGAGTTCCGCTCTATAAAATAAAAATTGCACAAAAGAACACTAGAAAATTGAAATTGGATTCGGTATTATTGTAATACTGTATTATTATTGTATTATGTTGCTGTATATCACACAGTGATCATATCTAAAAAGGGGTCATCTACTTATCCATGCATTCTTCAATATGTATGCAATTGTAACAGCGGTCATGAGGCGTACCCGCACATTGCCAGACAAAAACATTTGCTCGGACGAACATTTGTTCGGGAAAATGTTCGGCAATGTGCGCCAGGCTTAATCATCATGACTTCCAGCTTTGTTCACCTTTGACAATCCCAAGTCATGCTGGTTTCACAGCATAATGTATATGTCTCCAAACTGAGGCCATAATAAAAATATTATTTGTTTGCCCTCACCCGACCGACCCGCCAAAAAGGGGTCGACTCAAAAATTTTCAATGATCTTTTTCTTTTTCTTTTTAACAAATTGTATCACTGTACATGATATAAATCTGCAGGCAATACATTATATGTACCAAGCAAAAGAAACATTCAACATAAAAGGTATCTCCACACAAGCACACCCGAGCATGTAGACACCACGCTGAATCTGTAACAAGACCACACCCCCGCCCTCAAAAAAAAGAAGCCGACCTACCTACCCAAACTTTTCAACCTGGGTCGGGTGAGGACCAACAAAGATTTTTTTAATTGTGGCCTGATCGGCTCGAGCATATGCCGTGAGCAGGTTTACACTGCACTTTTCAAACCAATTTTAAGCAATCAGGGATGAATTGCCAGAAATGCCAGACAGAACTAACTGGTCTAGTATAATATAAAGAGTATATAACAGAATGTAGACAGTAATATGAACTGTAAGAGGACTAACCTTTTGGCTTCTTTTTACGGCTTCTATTAATGTCCTTCTGCAAGATTATCACAACATAATTAAAGCAGAACAACAATCTATAGAATGTGTGTGTGTTTGTGCGCCCTTTATGACTCTGTTGCCCATTGAGAAAGGTACGTGTGACTATTGTCACTATTTATTTTGCACATTTCAAACCAGAATCTAATCACAAAAGTGTAATTATATTTATACCTGTAACTAACATTTCAGGGTTCTCCCCAGGATGAAATTGAAACAGGGGGAGGAGGGAGGGGAAGGGGAGGGGGAGGGGGGAGGGGGAGAGGAGAGGGGGAGGGGAAACTAGGGGGGTCCAGGGGGCGTTTTTTTACCGTAATGCGTAAAATCGCCACCACACCATAGACGGTATTTGGGGCACTTGTATATAAGACAGCCGAGTCGGTACAGTTTGTGTTAAGGTTTGGGACAGGGTGATCGGCTGTTTGTAATTGTGTGTGGTCTGCAGTGCATGCGTATTGTAGGACGTTTACTCATTAGTTGTACCGTAAAAATACACTCGTCCGCGGGCCTGGTCGAATGGGAATTCTTGACGATCGATTCCCGCGCTGTCAAACTTTTATTGTGGTGGAATTTAATCGGGGCGGAGGTAATTTAAACGTGGCGCAACGATTGAAACGTGGGGGGAGTTTTCCTAAACGGGGTGAGCGCGCCCGGTTTGCGCAACGTAGGGAGAACCCTGCATTTAACTAAATAACTTTCTGTTTACAATGAATACATGCACAATCTAAGCAAAATTAATAATGCTATCTTATAGGAATTGCAACGTAACCCGTACGAGTTCTTAAAAAAACCCCGCTTAGGCTAGTTTTTAGCACGTGGCTTCAGTTGCATGGAGCAACATCATTAGCATCAACCCTTATAGCAATCCAGGGTGTACACATAATGTATATTCAAGCATTGTAAATTGAAGGCGGGATAATTATTTTCTGGATGCAGGAATATAGACCCTTTCAGGAACCGGAACATACCTGATATTTTTGGGTGATTTGGGTATACCAGTCATCCATGTCACAGGAAGGAAAGACCCGAAAAAAAGTTTGGAAACCAGAATGTTTGTAAATTTGTCGGGATTACAACTTTTCACTAAATTTTACAAACCAGTTAAACGTATGGACTAAATGGGTTGGGTAGCCTAGCTACTACTATAGCTCATAGGGTCTATGTCCCCCAGGGTACTGCCGGTACGTACCCTGGGTACGGTCCGGTATACCGGAAGGTACCCTGGTCACTATTTGATATGGTTAGGGTTAGGATAGATTAGGGTTAGGGTTAGGGTTAGGGAGTAGGCGTAGGCGACTCCCTAGACTCGTTAGTGGAGTAGGCGAGGTACGGTCCGGCATATTATAGATAGTACCAGGGTACGTTCCGGTATACCCCACCGTACCCAGGGTACGTTCCGGCAGTACCCCGGGGGACATAGACCCTCTCAGCACTACTATATAGATCCAACCAAAATTCATATTACCCAAGTGCATGACAGCAGCCTGTCTCTTTGTGACATTCCATAACAAAGCAAGCCAAAATGCAAAACAGTCATGAAAGAAGACCCAATTGTTTTGCACGACTGAGCTAGACAGCATATAGCAAGTGCGAGCGTCGTGGTACCGGTACCTGGTAGTTTCGTATCCTTTCTGATAAATCCACGTAGCCACAGTCTTCATCAGTTTTTCCCTTTTTTTGTGACATGACTCACAAACTCACCGGTTCACCTGAAAACGTGTTACCAAGTTATATAACTACACAAACAATACGGCCAATGTTAACAAGCGACATCACAAAGGTACACTCGACAGTATATCTCTAGAACTATAGCGGCCGGCTCGGTTCAAGGATATAAGCTAGAGCTGCACATCCCCAATGCATTTTCGCAAATGTGCGACATGTGCAAATGTGCAAATGTGGACAGCTCTTATATCCTTGGGCCCTTCGCTCTGCCCCAGGCCGATGGCGGAGTGAAGGGCAATAGTTCAGAGCTAACTCGACAGGAGGTAAACGTGGGTTCGGGTACCGTAGGGTCACACCAAGG